TGTCTCTACGACTTTTCGTTTTGAAAATTTTTAATTTTTTGTAAACTTTATAAACTTTCAGGGGCAGTTACTCATTGAAGGGGTCAAAGAAAACTTTCACAATGAATAGATTGAAAAGTCTCCTAAATTAGTTGAAGACAATGGTGAAGGTTTTATATCTCTATGGTTTACGGTTTCTGAGGAGTAGCGATAACAAGCTTAACGGTGAAAGGGCCAATAACTGCGTAAGGGGTCTAAGTTAAAATATGGGGGGTCATTTTTCGGAATAACTTTAAATATCCAGTATCATGAACTATAAAGTTTTTCGATAAGTCTTACGGTGTCAAAACATAAGGTGAGAAATAGAATAATAAAAAACATAAGCATTTCAATAGGTCTTTCCACAGAAAGGTGGAAAGACCTAATAAACAGAACAATTTCAATAGGTCTTTCCACAGAAAGGTGGAAAGACCTAACTAGTAAACTAATTGTTCAGAGAACAATAAGACGTCTTTCCACCTTTTTAAGTGTTTCAATATCATTTGGGCTGAAAAAATTAGGAAAAAAGCAAGAAAATAAATAAAACAGCAAAATTCTCATTTCTCTACTAGGATTTTAGATCGGGCTCGCAGTTGGTATAATTTTACCGTAAACAGACTTCCTAGATTGTTTGTAGTCGACTCGGGGATAAGCACGAATTCATTGATCAGGCAAAGAGAGCACATAAAAAACATTGTAACACTCTCCTAGGTGTATATATGAGCTTGAATGAGATTGTTTTCAAGTTAAGATGTAAGGGGTAGGGTCTGATTAAAATTATGATATACCTATTAATATGAATAACATGCATTTGATCTGCGCATCAAGACGGAAGCGTAAGTGAAAACGTTGTGAAATGTCCCATGTGTACCTGCATCATATGTGCATTAAACATGTATTAAAGCGATGTTTGAAAATATCCGATATGAGTTGTTTTATGTTTGAAATGGATGGCGATAAATTATTTAAGAGCATGTGAGAAAGATGAGCGAGAGATGCAAGGCAGTTTGTAATTATGGAAAAGGAAAACAGAGAATTAACATTCCTGACCGAAATAGGCATGGAATTCATTGTAAGTAGCATAAATAAAATTCTAAACATGTAATTCTAGATGGGAAACACAAGGAAGAAACGTGTATTTCTTTTTACTATGCTGAAAGTCGCTATTTCTTGGGATTGTGTTATTCTAGAAAAAAAAAAATCAAATTTCAAATGAAATCAAGATTCATTTCATTAATATTAAATCTAAATAAAATTGAAATAAATTCCACATACTACAGAAAGCTAGAATATTTGGTATTAAAATGTCATATTAGAACAGGAGAATCGAATGATATTAACAACAAATGAAGAAATAGCCAATACAAGCTTTAATTCATTTTATGCCCATCTGAATTTAAATTACAGACAGAAAAAGAAATGTAGTTTTTGCCGATAATCAGTAGAATTTTATTATACTCAAAAGACTCACCGTAAAACTTTTAGGACATTTTCTTTAAGGTGTCTTCTACTCAAATCCTTAATCTTATGTCGATCTCTGGTGTTGTTTGACTTGTAAAATTTTTTTCTACATAGCTATTGATTTTTTTTTAATGGACCGAGGGTAGGGGGGAGGGGTGTATTTTATAAGCATTTGTTAAAGTAAGAGTTGAAAATATCTCCACATACTTAAGCTTGATTGTGACCTTTGGGTCAATGGGGTCAAAGGTCAAGGTCATTTAGCAAGGTCATAGGTCAAGGTCATCCAAAAAAAGAGAGAGAGAGAGAGAGATAAACTTCAGATTAACACTTGAAGATGAATCTAGATAAAGGTAATGAATATTTCTTTAGTACTTTTTGAGTAAGGGGTCAAGGTCAAAGGCAAGGTCAAATATCAAGGTCAAGGTCATTTGGATTTTTTTTTATAGCTTAAATTGACAATTTCTCTAGTATTCCAATGACCCTGACCTTTGACCTTGACCTATTCTTTAAGGTCAAAAGGCAAAAGATCTCATGCAGTTAGGCCCATGTCTTTACAACTTGTCGTCAAGAAGTTTTTAGTTCTTTGTAAACATCATAAACTGGCAGGGGCAATAACTACTGAAAATGGTTTACAAATTCTTTCGCACTAATGGAATGAGAAGTGTTCTAAATTAGTTGCAGACATTGTTGAAGGTTTTGTACTTTTACGGTTTATGGTTTCGGAGGAGTAGCGATAACAAGGGTTTACACTGAAGGGGGCACTAACTTTTAGAGGGGTCAATCTTAGGCGACAAGAATGAATCTCTGAAATGGTTTTAAGAGTACATATTGAAGATGCAAAGATGTTTAAAATTTGGTAAAGAACAAAAGAGGTATAAGAAGAGCTAAATTTTTCGTATTTTGAATGACCTTGACCTTTGACCTTGACCTCAATTTTAAGGTCAAAGGTCAAAGAATCTTTTGCAGTTGGCCACACGTCTCTATGACATGTTGTTTAAGAAAAGATTTTGATATTCGTAAGCATCGCAAACATTCAGGGGCAATAATTCATCATAGGAGTTTACAAATCCTTTCGCAATGAAGGATTGAAGTCTACTAATTAAGTCGTAGACATAGGTGAAGGTCTGGAAACTCTGCGGTTTATGGTTTCGGAGGAGTAGCGATAACAAGCTTTACGACAAAAGGGGTAATAACTGAGTAAGGGGTCAAAGTTCAAATACGTTGGGTCATTTTTCAGAATAACTTTTGATATCCAGTATCATGAACTACAAAGTTTTTCGATAAGTCTTGTGGTTTCAAAAGTCCGGCGGAAAAAGAATAATAATAAACATAAGCATTTCAAGAGATCTTTCCACAGAAAGGTGGAAAGACCTAATAATATGTGCTTTGAAGGACCTTGACCTTTGACCTTGACCTAAATTTGAAAGTAAAAGTATTTACAGTTGTCGAAGACACTGTTTAAGGTTTCGCATCGCTACAGTCAATGGTTTCGAATGCGTAACGATGTGAAGGCTTTTCTCACAAGGAGGAAGAACTTTTTTATACGTCAGGCTTGATGGTTACAGAGAGACATTTGAAAACAGTTTTACAAGGATATTTGATAAATTTGATGGTATCAAGGTCAAAGGTCAAGGTCATCAAAAAAAAAAAACTCTCATAAACATGAGTTTAACACTTGAAGCTGGATCAAAGCTATATAAATAATGAATATGTCATAAACTCTTGAGTAAGGGTCAAGGTCAAAGGTCAAGGTCAACTACCAATGTCAAAGGTCAAGTTCATTTTGTAAAAATAAACATGTATAAGCAATTTCATACTTTTTTCAATGACCTTGACCTTTGACCTCGACCTTAAATTCCAGGTCAAAGGGCAAAATATCTCATACACTTGGCCACATGTCTTTACGACTTGTCGTTAAGAAGTTTTAAGTTCTTCATAAACATCGTAAACTATCAGGGGCAATAACTTCTTACATGGTTTACGAATTCTTTTGCTCTTAATAGATTGGAATGTGTACTGAATTAGTCGCAGACATTGTTGAAGGTTTCGTACTTCTACGGTTTACGGTTTCAGAGGAGTAGCGATAACAAGGGTTTACACTGAAGGGGGCACTAACTTTTAGAGGGGTCAATCTTAGGGGACAAGCATGAAATCCCTGAAATGGTTTTAAGAGTACATATTGAAGATGCAAAGATATTTAAAATTTGGTGAAGAACAAAAGAGCTATAAAAATTGCTTAATTTTACATATTTTGAATGACCTTGACCTTTGACCTTGACCTAAATTTCAAGGTCAAAGGTCAAAGAATCTTTTGCAGTTGGCCCCATGTCTCTACGCCTTGTTGTTTAAGAAAAGATCTTGATAATTGTAAACATCGCAAACATTCAAAGGGCACCTTTAGTCAAATATTTTCTTTTTACTAATCATTAAAAGTAATTTATCTATGGACACATGAAAAATCTGCACCTCTTTATCTGCAGCGGTTTAGCCGATAAAACAATTAAAATTTGACATTTTCTGCCTGCTCACGGAAACACACGAGCGTGAAAGCTGCAAAAGTTCTCTTATCAGCTGTGGAATGTGAAACGTCACGAATGTGACCGCGAGAGCCTTTTACTTTACAATTAGCATCATGGCTTCACAAACAGATGAAATTGAAATATTAGAAGAAAATGACATTTGGTTTGATTTGGATGTTGAGGAGGAATTAGACAATAAAGAAGATCTTAGTGAAGATTCTTCTGACCATGAAGAGACAGATTCTGATACTATTGGGACAGAAAATGCTGGCTTTGGTATTCTCCCATACCAATATGAGCCTTATGCAACTTCTGATGAAGATGCATCCGACAATTCAGAAGCTGATGAGGAAGACAGAACACATAACACGTACAGACTGGTGAAGAATAGTTTAATTTTCTTTTAATTCAATTATACATATCAAAGTTGCAATTGTTTCATTAAGGTCAAAAATATTTTGACAAAGAAAATTTCAAACAAATATTTTTTTTTATACAATTTTTTTCTTTTCTAATACCCAAGTAGGTGTTCATGTCAATGCTGCACAATCATGGCATCAAATACCGAAAACAGGTGCTGTCAAGAGATACAACAAGTAAAGGAAGAGATTTTAAGAACCGACACATCACTTAATTGCATAACACATCATCCTGGGTTTAGAACAGTTTGTCTTGATATTCATGTACTGAGAACTGCATACTATCAATATCGACAACAATATGGAGGGAACTTGGAAGAATCAACAAAGTAAGTCAATTCTATTACCCATTTCTTTTCAGATTCATAATTAGTTAAATTATTACTAATATAAAATGGCATCTCATTTTGATATATTTACATGTATTTATTGAATTTCAGACGACATAGATACACAGCTTACAGGCAGTTTGTACGTTGGTGTTGGGGCTATTTAGGCAAGAAGGTCAGAGTAGTCATACCATCTTGTGCAGTCTCAAAAATCAGAGAAACATTCCCGCTTCAACCTGGAGAAACTCACACAGGGTTTAATTTTGCTGATTGAACCTACTAGATTTTTCCAATACTGCTGCTTCTTTCACGGGATGAGAATACTCATGGCACAATGGCGGAGGAGGAACTACAGTCATCTTGGCACATATCTCACTATTCATTTTTACCTTTTCACTAATTTTAAAGGTTGTGTCCATTATTGTTTCTGCATATTCTATAAAAGAAAAATGGAGATGAAAATATTAATAATGTGATAATTTGTTTTATACAATTCTTACATGGCATCAATATTATGTAATTAAAGTTGTCTTACCGTAAGTACTTTGTGATTTTACTTCTCTCACAGTATATCCACCTTTCTTAAATTTAGGAAAGGTTATTTTGTACCTAGCTTTTCCCTCCTGTGTTTCGTCTTGGGGTTTTCTGCCATTTTCATTAAAATGCAAGGCAGAGAGGATTAGTCTGGAACAAATATAATGTAGTAAAGCATTTTATTGCTATATATATAATAAACAACATGCTTTTAATAACTTCCTAAATTTCCTTGATGTAAACTTGATACATTACCTGCTTAGCATCCCCTGGTATGAAAAATGGTACATTTTAGGGGCAAAGTGGTTGACAACAGAATGATAAGCTTCTAGATCTGAAGTCTGGTGTCCTGTTGATAATTTTGGAACATCTTTTTGTAACTGTTTTGAATGGATGATTTCCAGTACCTTTTCACATGCCTTTGTACCTAAATAAAAAGAATAAAATAAAAACAAAACTTCTAACACAATTCTACCACTTGTTATAAATCAAGGATATACATGTACTCGTATCCTCTTACTTGATTTGAACCAATGTTTTTTTCTCTCTCGTCCCTCTAAATTTCCATGGCTGCACTTTGGGTATAATTCTCCATGACCTTCATGTACATTTTGGAGATGATTTCCAAGAGAATGCCACTTTTCGAGCATCAGCTGTGGGCTTCCTCCTGGGGATGAGGCAGCTACCCAGTATAGATGATTAGTCATGCTTTTGATCCATTCTACAACAATGCTACACTCCCTCTCTTTGGACAATGATAGAAGCTTTTTCTTTAAGCCTAAAATATTGAAATTAATTAAAATTTGGTATAAAATACGATTGAAAGAATGAAAAATTTACAAACAATCAGATGTTTTCAGTTTTTCTTACCTTTAGCTACATGCCATACATCAAATTCATGACGTGTATTCGGCAAGTTCTCTCGAACCCACTTGTTGACTTGGACATGCCGATCAGTTACTAATGTGCCTATTTCTACCTCCATATCACAAAAATAAGCCATTGTTCTAATCAAACCTTCTAATTCCATGTGGGAACTACTTTTGACTTCATTTGACTACAATATATGTATATATACATATATATTTTAACACACAGGAATAAATGGGATAAAATGATTAAGATATTACATAAATACGAAAAGAATACATGTATCAGTAATTAACACTCAACAGTACCTGAACAAGCTCTATGTGCACAATTAGCCCCTCATCTAGATCTATCACTGAATAAGCCCCATATTTTGCAGAGTGTCCAGGGCTGTCAGCTCGGCCATCTCCACCCAGAGCCAGTGGATTTCCTTGTTGCTTCACATATTCTACATAAGAATTTGTGAAATTCTTCCAAATATGAAAAATTCCAGGATGTATATAGCACTTTTGATGATTGTAAAATGTTGACAGTTTTGGAGCTTGAACATTCATGAATTCAAACATTCTGAGAGCTTTACTTGGAATGGACCCTGATAGTACAATTGATGTTGATATCAGAAGATTTCCTGCAGGTACCTCTCCAATATAGGGTTGACTATTCCATGTTGATTTTAAATTACAAAGAATACATTCCACTTCAACTGAAATGAATGATCCTTTTATTTGTTTTATCTTCCCCACAACTGGAGACTTGCATTTGGAACAGGTATGAAATAACTTCATCAGTTGGGATTGAAACACAATGAATTTCTTCTCTTCTCTTGCATTTGGTTTTCTGACAAGCAAACAAAAAAAAAACTCTTTTTAAAGAAAGTTGATCATGCAGAGTTTCCCAGCATAAATAAATATGAAATACAACCTATAAACTCACTCATTTTCCTCGGAGGAATACTCCATGGAATCATCACTTTCAGGATGTTCTTGATATTCAGAATCAGAAGAAATTTCCAGGTCGGAGGATTCTGTTGGCATGTCATCCTCGTATCTTAGGAATTGATCACTCATAGATTGTTCATTATCGTTTATATTGCACTGTATACCCACACTTCTTCGGGCAGGATACATATTTATTTGAGTCCCTGATTGAAAAAAAATACTTCCATTTCACAATTTAATATTTTTTTTAAATTAGATTAATTGAAACTCTTAAGTCTCAGAAAATGTTCATCTTATATTTACCTTTGGTAGATGTTTTAGATTTGGTTTGGCTAGATTTACTTCTTTTATTCCATGACCTTTTTGTCTGACTGAAGGCTTCTTTTGATTTTGAAAATCCTTCTGAACCTTTCTAAAAATCCCAATTAAATTAATATACAAGACTATGGAACAGGATATACATGTATGCATACTCAGTCCAGATATTAATTATTTTTTAAAGGGTATGGTATATTTCTATTCATTTTCAAGCTTACATTGATTTCATTGTCAGTCATTGTGCAATTTGAATCTTCTTCTGATTTTCTAGCTTCAGCTTCTTGCATAGATTTATTCTGAACTTCTGTTTTCTCTGTAATGATCTACAATAAGATACATGTATCATCTTCAAATATTTTGTTATGAATTACCAGTATAAACATTTTCCAGACCTTCTAAAAATATTTACTAATAACATCTTTGTTTAAGGTGTAAAATGTAAAATCTACTTACTCTAAAATTTTCTCGTTTTACAAATGCCCCTCTTATCCGTTTCCTTTCTTTTTTCTCTCTCTCATTGGATTTCTCCTCACCCTCCTCAATAGAGCTCAAATCACGTTTTCCTAAAACACTAGGGTGATGTTTTGTTGGTACTGACCCAGGATTTAGAACTTTGTTCTTCACTGGAATTCCTTGTGATTTTTTGAATCGATACTCAAATGGATAACAAGAGTCATCGAAATGTAATTCACAAAGGCTGGAATATTTAGTAGGGCCCTCAGGCCATTTTCTCTTAAGTCTAACAAAGGCAGTCCACTTTGGTACAAGATGTGGTTCCTTTTTAAATGGAAAATAGTGCAGGGACACTCCATCTAAATGTGTACTTGAACACCCACCCGCTACACATCTTCTACCCCTTTTTGTTTCACTGTGAGTATCACAGGACATGTTTATTTACATGCCATGTAGTGTAACAACATTGAAGCTGTCTCTGCATCTGTTCACATTCTTTTCGTCATGCAGCCGATAACAGCGGAAACTGCCGAGCTCAGATTACTTTCACCGAGCATTTGACATTTTAATTAATTTCAGCTAAACCACACATCTTACAAACGTGATTTTTTCAGGACTGGATTTTAAATAACCGAATATATATTTTAATTGAACAATAATTTTTGACTAAAGGTGAAAGGTGGAAAGACTTAATAACTAGGAGACTAATTGTTCTCTGAACAATTAACGGCTTTCCACCTTTTTTAAGTTTTCATGTCATTTGAATTAAAACAAAAAAAAAAAAAAAAAAAAAAAAAAAAAAAAAAAAAAATTAAAAAAAAAAGTTTCTCCAGCTGGGCTTGAACCTACAACCCTCAGTTTGTAAGTCGGACACGCTAACCATTGAGTCATCAAGTTGTACACAAGTAAGCGTATTTTGTAAACTAATTTATTTTTTGAAGGTGGAAGAGGATACCTGTAGTTTCGTAGGAAAGTACCGGTCAAATTTCTTAAAAAACTGAGATCTTGCCGGTTTGATGTGATATTGTATGTAGGAAAATGATTAGAATAATTATGGGACACATTTGCAGTGAAGCAATGACACTTAGCATATATAGAGTCGTAAAAGCGAAAGTAACACACGTGGTCAGTTGCAGAGGAAATTCAAAATCCCGGAAAAAACAGTGAGTGATTCATGGACATTTTTTCTACACTATATTGTATAAAGCGGGGTATATGCAATTGATTTAACCTATCTAAATTGCGTGGAAATTTATTTGATATGAAAAATCGCTATTTCCGAGATTTAGATTTAAATCTAAATAAAATTAAAATAAATTCCATACACCTAAGAAAGCAAGAATACTTGGTATTAAAATGTCGTAATAGAGCAGGAGAATCGAATGATGTTAACAATAATTGCAGATATAGCCAATACGAGTTTCAATTAATTTTTATGCTCAGCAATAACTAAATTTCAGACAGAAAAAAAATGCAGATTTTGCCGATATTCACTATAATTTCAAAATACTTTAGAGACTCACCTTCAAACTCTCAGGACACTTTCTTTCAGGTCTATTCTTGCTTTTATTACGAATCTTATGCCGATATTTCGTTTCGTTTGACTTGTAGACATTTTCTCTAAGTTGGTGTTGATTTTATTTTTAAAGGTGGGGGGGGTGTTAATTTTATAAGCATTTGTTAGAGTGATGGTTGTAAATACCTCCACGACCTTTAGCTTGATTGTGACCTTTAGGTC